TATGCTAACTTACTAGGAGTCAAATACCACCAGTACATCATTTTCATATAAAGATGCAAGATTAAGCCAGAGAGATGCAATTGTGGGGAGAATTTTCCCCGCTCAATTTGGGGAAAGGCTGTAGCTCAGTGATTAGAGCGCCTGCCTTGCATGCAGAAGGCCTCAGGTTCAATCCCTGGCATGTCCAGGTAGGACAATGAAAGTCTCCTGCCTAAACCACTGCCAGAATAGACAATATTGAGCAAGGTTGACCGATGGTCTGACTCAATATAAGGCAGCTTTCTCTGTTCCTGCTTAAGCTAGCCCTTTATGCAGGACCATGAGGGCTAGAATCTTAATTTACATTTATGAGGGGTGCCCATATCTCAGTTGTAGGAGCCTTGTAGGCAGAAGGTGCTGGACAGCTCAGTCGGTAGAGCGTGTGGCTCTTCATCTTAGGGTTGTGGGTTCGAGTCCCACATTGGGCAAAAGATTCCTGCATTGCAGGGGGTTGGACCAGGTGACTCTCATAATCCCTTCCTGCCCTATAATTCCTTTCCCCCCCCATAACATTTCATTAATTTTCCAACAATAACAATAAAACAAACATCAATAAAAACAAAACAAAAAAGATTGACTTCCCCTATTCCCTTCCTTGATTCCATTGTATATCAATGTACTACATGTCCATTATAAAGTTTTAACCATTTAAATTACTTATTGTCCATTCCTAATACAGTTACAAGTATCCTTAAAACCCTGCCAATGTATTAACCTGTGTACATTGTTTCTGTATATATGCAATAAAGTCCTTCCATTTTTCCTGAAATTTGTTGTCATCTCTTCCTCTTAATTTCATTGTCAGTTTTGCCATTTCAGCATATTCCATTAATTTAACTTGCCAATCTTCTTTAGCTGGGACACTTGCTTCCTTCCAATGTTGTGCTAATAATGTTCGTGCAGCCGTAGTTGCATACGTAAACGAGTTCTTTTGTGATCTTGGTAAATCCATTCCTGCGATACTTAATAGGAAAGCTTCTGGGTTTTTTTATTCCTGCCCTATAATTCTATGAGTTTATGATTTTGGATCCCGGTTCAAGCCCCACTGGGATCTCTGTGTAGAGCTGGGAGAGATCCCTTCCTGAATTCCTTTTATGGCGTGCTTAGAAAGGCCACAGAGATTCGTGATCTGATCTCCCATCAGATCAATTGTAGCAAGTAGTGGCTTGCAAGCCCTCCCCCCCCCCAATTCTGATAAGGGCCATGGCACTCCAGGAGGTGGGTGTTTCACTCTCCCTTTTTTGCTCCATGGAGGAAAATGTACAAGGTGTGACCAGAGAGTTCGGTGAATGGTCACAGAAATCGGACAGCGAGAAATATTCGAACATACATGCCTTACAGGCCTTCAAAGTAGGCCCCGTCTGATACAATGCACCGTTGACAACGTTCGTAGAACTGTTGGAAACTTCTGGAGAAGCCCTCTTTCCATACTGCTTTCAGTTCCCTCGTCATAGCAGCTTGGACGTGTGAAATGATGGGAGATCTGTGCATTTCAGTGCAGATTCCAGTTTTGGATAAAGAAAGAAATTCGGTGGGGCCAGATCGGGAGACTATGGAGAGTGGGACAACTCAGTAACCTCAGTAACGATTTCACACGGATTATGCAATTCTTCTGCCATCATTCGGACGGACAAACACTGATCCCGCATCAATAACTCACAAACTCTGTTGACATTTGCTGCCATTTTGCTCGTCGGTGGTCTGCCAGACCATGGGTCCTCTTCGATGGTTTGTTGCCCTTCACAGAAACACTTAAACCACTCATACGCTGTCTTTCAAGTTACAGCTTCATCTCCGTGCACAACTGTGAGCATTTTGTGGGTTTCCGATGCCTATTTACCCAATCTGAAACAAAATTTCATACTGACTCTCTGCTCCATTTTCAATCACAACGCCCTGCACTGTTGTTGTTGTTGTTTAGTCGTTTAGTCATGTCCAACTCTTCGTGACCCCATGGACCAGAGCACGCCAGGCACTCCTGTCTTCCACTGCCTCCCGCAGTTTGGTCAAACTCATGTTCGTAGCTTTGAGAACACTGTCCAACCACCTCGTCCTCTGTCGTCCCCTTCTCCTTGTGCCCTCCATCTTTCCCAACACCAGGGTCTTTTCCAGGGATTCTTCTCTTCTCATGAGGTGGCCAAAGTATTGGAGCCTCAGCTTCACGATCTGTCCTTCCAGTGAGCACTCAGGGCTGATTTCCTTAAGAATGGAGAGGTTTGATCTTCTTGCAGTCCATGGCACTATTAGGTAAAGGTAAAGGGACCCCTGACTATTAAGTCCAGTCGCGAATGACTCTGGGGTTGCGGTGCTCATCTCACTTTACTGGCAGACAGTTTTTCCAGGTCATGTGGCCAGCATGACTAAGCATGACTGAGCAGTGCACAGAAACACCATTTACCTTCCCACCAGAGTGGTACCTATTTATCTACTTGCATTTGATGTGCTTTCAAACTGCTAGGTGGGCAGGAGCAGGGACCGAGCAACGGGAGCTCACCCCGTCGCGGGGATTCGAACCGCCAACCTTCTGATCAGCAAGCCCTAGGCTCTGTGGTTCAGACCACAGCGCCACCCGCGTCCCAACTGCACTATTAACAGTTACTAAATGCTACCGCATGAACATCGGCCTGTCAACAAATGCCACGACACGTGCACATACGTTAGCTGAGAACGGACGAACACCTCCCACGTGTCTCCGCGAATCCAGCAGTTCCCATTATCACATATATTCACCCTACATTCTGGTCACAACCTTGTATATGTGCAACCTGAAAACCCCTTAAGGACAAGGGGTCTTCATTTGGAAAGTGGCAGTGTGGGAAATGTTAACTGCCCCTGCCATGGGATGGGCAGATCTGTCAATTTGGTTTTTCCTCAGTTTCTAATATTTCCAATCTTAACTTTGAATCTCCATAGTTCTGCATTAGTCTGCGATTTTTTTAAAGTCCTGATGAAAATGAATCAGCAACTTTCTCCTAAAGCACATGTTCTTATGCCATTTTATTTACCGTATTTTTCGCTTTATAAGATGCCCCAGACCATAAGACGCACCTAGTTTTTGGAGGAGGAAAACAACAACAAAAATATTCTGAATCTCAGAAGCCAGAACAACAAGAGGGATCGCTGCACAGTGATCCCTCTTGCTGTTCTGGCTTCTGGAATAGCTGTGCAGCCTGCATTCGCTCCATAAGACACACACACATTTCCCCTTACTTTTTAGGAGGGAAAAAGTGAGTCTTATAGAGCAAAAAATACAATAATATGCATTTTTGCATAGGGATTTCCCATGATCTAGTGAATTTCATCAATACATGCATTTTGAAATTTCTGTCCCTGGCCCTGACACATGTGGGCGGACCATGCCCTGACCCATTATGCCTTGTTCTGCCTTCTTCATGGTCCAAAAAGACCCATGCAGGGGTGGATCCCAACTTGAATAAAATATTGGGACACCCAGGAAAACCCCGCCCCACATAACTGATCACATGACACGGTGCATGTGCATCATTTGACTGGCAAAGCCCATGAACTTCAAATACTTTATTGGAGAGTGAAGTCCCTTCAGAGTTGGCTCCTATGGACCAGCACATTGGTGATTGCACATCAATTGGATGTGCCTAAAAT